TTGTACATTCCAAAGTGTCACTATTATTATTGATATTGATGATCAAATGGTCTTGATTTAGTTTGTATTCGTGCATTCTAAAGCCATACATTGTGTTTACTGTAATTGTAAAAGACAGCGCTGATGCTGGGCAAAACACCAGATTCACATCAAGTATTCCTGTGAAAGGTGTAATTAATAATTCAGGAGGAAAGATTACCCCCAATATTCAGCCAGAAACATGGAGAAGTTGGAGCATTCAGCAGGAAGGCTTCCAAGATACCAAATTGGAAGGTACTTGATCTATATTCTAGTTGTATGTATAGGGAATTTTACACTACTCTGGTTTGTCAATATCTTGAAGTCCTTAAAATGTGCAGCTGTGGAGGTTTCATACAGCAAAAATCAAGTGGTACAAAATAAAGAAGCTGTCAACAATGGTATAACTGCAAGTATAGAGAATATCCCTGCTCTGGACAGACATGATATCAATCACAATCAGATACGAACTCGCCTTCGGCACCTCGAATGTGAGCTTAACACAGCTCTTGATTCCTTGAGGTCTAAAAGAGAAGAGTATGTATTAGACAAGGTATGCTTGTTACTCATGCATAATTCTTTTTACCCTGTTACTGTGGATTCCATAAGTTTCGGACATTCATTACAATCAATGGGAATAAATAAAAATACTGTAGTCAAAGCTTGTCGTATACAAGTCATAAATTACTATATTTAATCTAGAACAGAAAATGAAATGAATGTGCGAGCTAATTGCTGTTGGGTTGATTTTACATATTTCGCATGGAAGAATATAAATGTTTTATTATGGTTATTCATCTTAAAATGCATTTTACAATTAAACAATAACAATTACCTTCTTTCATTCATCTGGAAAAAGGTTTTTGTGGGCTGTTGTTCAATCAATGACTGATTTCTTAATCAGGTTAGTGAAAGCTCCTCCAATGATTTGCAAAACCTTTCTGATGCGTGGGAGTTCCAAGAGAACGAGTACATGAATGCCCAGGAGAGATTGCGATCAATACGAGCAAAACTTGCTGTATTAGAGGGGAAAATGGCATTAGCAATAATGTAGTTGATCTAATTCAGTTGATGATTTCTACTTCCTAGTTTTTTAAGCAGCACTTATCACATCCTTACCATACTTTTGCAGTGATGCACAGAGGATAGTGGAAGAGAAGCAGAAGAAGATCAACGATGCCCATAAAGCTTTGCAACTTCTTCGTACTGCCTGCATAGTTTGGCCTAATTCAGCTTCAGAGGTTCTCTTAGCGGGTTCTTTTGATGGTTGGACAACTAAGGTTATATAGCTTCTTCTACAATGTTTAGTGGGAAATAGGAAGTTATTTTTCTCGTTTGTATACTCAGTTTGCTTGCTATATTAACTTTGTTTTTCCCACTTTAGATGCTTTCATGGGTGATTGGGGATTTTGCTATATGAACTTGTTAAAATTTTAAGATGAATGGGGAAAAAATGCAGTGCTTGTTGTTCAAAAATGGAGATATTTGAGCTTGTACAAATTATGGAGGTTCTAAGGTCACGATTCATAATAAGAAATTATGGGAGAAGGTGATTGAACATAGATTAAGGTGAAAGTCCAAGGTCTTGGGGTGAAAATTTTTGGTTGACTAACCAGGAGATCTACCATTGAAGTCATTTTCCTACTTCATGAATTGATGGAGAAGTAAAGATAAAAGAAACAAGATTTTAATTCTATTGATTTAGAAGAAAAGCTATGATAGGTTTTTCCATTAGATAAATAGCTGGTGCTAAGAGAATGAATTTCAATTGGATATATCAACATCATTACGGATATGCATAATGTAAAAGTCACAAGTGTAAGATCTAGTGGCCTCATTAGTCAACAATTTTCTATAACTTTAGGATTGTGCTAACAGATACCTAGCTCCTTGTCTTTTAGCTATAATCATAGATGAATTCACAAGACACACCAAAGATAAGATTCGTTGGTGCATGTTATTCTATGATGACATAATTTAGTTGAAGAATCT